ACTGTTAGTGGGAATGTAAACTGGTGCAGCCACTATGGAAAACGGTTTGGAGGTTCCTCAAAAAAACTAAAAATAGAGTTGCCATATGATCCAGCAATCCCACTCCTGAGCATGTATCAGGACAAAACTATCATTCAAAAAGATACATGCATCCCCCGATGTTCACTGCAGCACTATTTACAATAGCCAAGACATGGAAACAACGTAAATGTCCACTGACAGATGAATGGATAAAGAAGATGTGGTACATATATACAATGGAATATTACTCAGCCATAAGAAAGAATGAAATAATGCCATTTGCAACAACATGGATGGACCTAGAGATTATTATACTAAGTGAAGTAAGTCAGGATGAGAAAGACAAATAGCATATGCTATCACTTATATGTGGAATCTAAAATACAACATAAATGAACCTATCCACGAAACAGAAAAAGACTCACAGACATAGAGGACAGACTTGTGGTTGCCAAGGAAGAAGGGGGTGGGGGAGGGATAGACTGGGAGTTTGTGTTCAGTAGACGCAAACTATTACACAGAGAGTGGGTAAACAACAAGGTCCTACTGTACAGCACAGGGATATCCTGTGATAAACCATAATAGAAAAGAATATGAAAAAGAATGTGTGTGTGTGTGTGCGCATGCACGCGTGTATATAGCTGAATCACCACACAGCAGAAATGAACACAACACTGCAAATCAACTATACTTCAATAAAATAAATTAAAAAAAAAAAAAAGTTCAGCCCTTGTTAAGCCCAACCCTGTGCCTACTCCAAGCCTGTGCCCAGGCAGCTGAACACGGCTGGACAAAACACAAGATCTTCACCTTAAATGTTTGCCCATAAATCTCCAGTGACACTGAGAACTGCCCAGCAACCGATCCCATTTCACAGTTCCTTCACTGTCTTAGTCTCTAAGAGGACTATTTCATGCCTTTTCCTATTTTTCCAGATCTCCAACACTCCTCCCTCCCACCCCGACTCATTCTCAACTGATGATTCACTAAAAAAATGGAAGCAAATCAGAAGAGAAAACTACCTCTTCTTCCCAAGGCCAACGTGGCAACCTACCTGCATCTGGACACATACACTCAGCCTTCTTTCCTGCCACAATGGAGGTACCATGCCTGCGCCTCCACCTGCCCTCTTTTGCCGATCCAGGACAATTATCCCCTCTGACATGACAGCTCTCAAACTGTTATCCCCAGCCTGAACTCTGACCTCATATCACCAACTGCTGATCCAATATTGCCACTTGGGTGACTAGTAAGTATCTCAAACCTGACATGTCCAAAATGGAATTCTTAATTCCCTACCCTGCTCTCCACTCCACTTTCCCCAGCCAAGTAAATGGTGCCAGTGGCACCACCCTTTACCCTACAGCTTGAACCAAAACCTTGGGATCATCCTTGACCCTCTCCTTCCCCCACATCCAATCTAACAGCAAGTCTGGACTGTTCTATCTTTAAAATAAATGAGAGATCCTGCGTTTCTCTCCACATACCACTGCTTCCCCCATAGTCTCTCACCATCTCTTGCCTAGCCTATCACATGGCAACTTATACATTCTGCCTGCTGCCACTCTTGCCCTCCTACCATCTGTTCACAGCAGAACAGCCAGGGTGATCTTTTTAGAACATAAACTGAATAATGGCACTTCTCTGCCTGAAATCCTCCAAGGGCTTTCCTTCACAGAGTAATATCCAAACTCCCTGCACGGCAACAAGGCTCCAGTGCTCTGGCCCCTCCCTCTCTTCAGCCTCTTCTTTCTGTCTGCTCCAGAAACTGGCCCCCTGGCTCTTCCTCAATCACACCAAGATCACTCCTGCTCCAGGAATTTGGTACTCGCTGTCTCTCCACCAGAAATGCTCTTCCTCCGGTCTTCACATGCTCAGCTCCCTCACATTACTCAGGTCTCAGATGTCCCCTCCCCAGAGAGGCCTTTCCAGCCCCCTCCATCTTAAATAGTGTGCTCACCCCTCCGTCACTCCCCATCCCAATATCCTACTTTATTCTCCCTCATGACTTAATCACTACGTGAAACTATATTATTTGTTCATTTGTTTATTGTCTATCTTCTCTGCTAGAAAGGGAGCTACATGAGCTTAGAATAGTGCCTGGCACAGAGGAAGTGCTTAATAAATATCTGTTCATGAATATTACTTTTACAATAAAAATTAAACTACTTTAAAAAATTTTAACTGCCTGTACAATTGCCACATTGTGAATAAACTCTACATATGGAGAACGACTAGAAGAGAACAGGTAGAAAGATGAAAGTAGTTGCAAGGGGAACATTTTTATTTACACCATATCCTATTTTAATGTTTTATATCATTGCTTTATAATTTTAAAAAATACCTTTTCTGTATTGAAAAATAAATGAAAGATAAGTGAGGATCCATCAATGCCAGAGGGTCATCACTCTAAACGTCAGTTGCAAAAAAGGGAAAAGCAGCCCTGACACCTGGGAGCTGGCCTGGACTACCACCTAGGCCTCCAAGTTGCTAGGAGCCAAACCCAAACCTAGGCCTTGGTGCTGAACGGCAACAGCAACATCAGACAAGGCCACTCTGTGACCGTGAAGGATTAGGACAAAAATAAAACCACTCTTGTAATGATTATTGTAATCATGACAATAATGTAATGTGGAGTATCACAGATATCACTCTGCAATGATATCTCAACACAAACAAAACGAGAACATTGTCCAAATCACAAAACACCAAGCACCCGCCTCTCCTGGCTAATAAGTGACTGCTGCTTCTTTACCAGTTTCAGCTTTGGCCCCACTTTAGTCCATTCTCCCTCTAGGTAAGATTTATTAAAATAGTGAATCATAGAAGAGCCCATTTGCAGACAGCATCCAACCCAGAGCAAAGCTCTGATCCTTAAAGACTCCAAAATCACCAACACCAGCCCAAATCCAGTAGTAAGTCTTTCCAACACCGTTTTCCCGAGATGCCCCACGGTTCCCTATGGTGTGCACTCTTCCTCACCGCAACAAGCAATAAGCCTAACTTGTTCAGCTATTGGTATGTTCCTGGTGGTCTTTGGCTGGTGGGCACTGACACTTGTCATGACATCAGTTGCCACTACAGGCCATTACATGCAGTATTCATAGGAGCCTGGCTAGAAAACCAACCACAGGATATAATATCAGTGCCGGTTCTCTGAATACATTCCCTGACATCAGCTGATTTTCTTGTCGTCTGCCTCCTTCTCCTAAAAGGTGAGTGAAGGGGGTTGGGCGGGGGAAAGCCAAGAAAATTAAATGTCCTGGTGAATAATGTTACAATTAATCAAGGACACCCTGCACAGCTTCCCTTCCCCCCACCATTTCCGAAAGTACCCTGAGCACAAGGTTAGAGTGGGGCTGGATGACTGACTCATGGGCAGAGTCTGAGGCAACACTACTCAAGTACTTTAAGCCACATGTTCAAGCCCAATAAATTAGCCCAGGCTTAAAGAAGTCAGGCTGTACACATGTAAGAATTTTAATAAGCTTGGAAAATGCTACCTAGAGCTTATGCACAAGCTTACTGTACCAACGGGATTCCCTGCCACCAGCCACAGAGTGCTAAGCCCCTGACAAGAGCCATCGAGCATGTGCGGCAGCAGGGACACGGAGTCGGCTTGGTCCAGGTTTCCTCAGGAGTTGGAGACACAGCAGAAGGCTGGCAGCCAGATGGATGGAGACCAGAATAGGGCATGCGGCACAGTGGAGCCAACGGCATTTACTAGGAAAACATGTCAAGGTTTCTTTGGTGGAAATCTGGTCCTCAGACACCCTTCCAGAAACAAGCAAACACTGTAATCAATGTCTGCATTTATCAAATGCTTGTTTGTATCCAGAACTGTGTTATGTACAATAGACAGTTATTTAAGCCAACAGGATCTCTGCCTTTTAGATGCTGACACCGAATATAAATAAAAACAATAAATCTGTCCAGAGGATTATCAAACTAACTGAACAAACATGGAATAGTCTAAAGCACTGACCTTATATAAATGCAATGGAGTAGAACTGATGGGAGATGACTCTATAAACAGGGTGGGGCCCTAATGGAACAGTTCCCCTGTTAAGGCTGAATCTCCAAGGCAAGGACCAGCTTTTAAGAAAAGCTTCAGGACTTCCCTGGTGGCGCAGTGGTTAAGAATCTGCCTGCCAATGCAGGGGACACAGGTTCGAGCCATGGTCTGGAAAGATCCCACAGGCCGCGGAGTAACTAAGCCCGTGCGCCACAACTACTGAGCCTGCGCTCTAGAGCCTGTGAGCCACAACTACTGAAGCCCATGAGCCTAGAGCCCGTGCTCCGCAACAAGAGAGGCCACGGCAATGAGAAGCCCTCACACCGCAATGAAGAGTAGCCCCCGCTCACCACAACTAGAGAAAGCCCGCGCGCAGCAACGAAGACCCAACGCAGCCATAAATAAATAAATTTATTAAAAAGAAAAAAGAAAGAAAGAAAAGCTTCAAGGGCTGGCTATTGGGCTTGGAGAAAATGAGCCAATCTGAGAAGAGGGTGCAGCTTGGGAGATGATTTAGAGACAGAAATGCAACTATAAGGAGAAAGAAAACTTGACAACCATCCAAGAAAAGTAGGGGAAATCAGTCAAGCAGGTGTATGTTTCTCAACTGTTTTTACTCATGTCCCCTTCTGATCAGTATAAAAAGCTCACACTCTCTGTTAACGTTATTCAAAATTTGAAAGGAAATTAAATATCCTAACCAACACCAAATCAGAGCAATAGTGGTTTCAGAATCTGATTTTCCAAATCACACAAATCACCCTCTTCCCCTAGAGCTGAGACTCACCCAGTTGGGTGGTAGCAACTGTCAACAAGGAAGGAGTAACTATCACTGAATTCTTAAGGAAGAAAGGATTTGGATCTTGGATCCACAGGGCACCAGACAACCAGTAGTATTAGAAAGAGTTACAGCCTAAGGTGACAAAAATAGACCATGGCACAAGCAGGAATATGTAATAATTACCTGATTAAAATTTTTGAAAGAGAACTCTTTGTAGATGGCATCTCTCTCACTTAATTCCGACCATCCTGCTGCTTTAAGGTCAAGTATAACTTGGTTCCTCTCCTCTGCTGTCAACCAGTGAGCATCTGCTGACTATGAAAAGAACACATTTAATACCTGAAATGTAGAGGTTTGTTTAAATTCAAATAAATTTACTGCTCTTTACCTTATGTAGAGAGGTGGGAAAAAGTCTTAAGGGCAACAACTTCTAACCATCTTTGATTACTTTGTTCTCAAAATACAAAATTCTCAAAAAACAGACAAAAACAAGGCTAGCTCTGTACAGAATAAGCTGTCTCCATTGTATGTGGGTTTATCACCCCTTACATATGCCTCAAACTTTGCAATTCAGTTTCTCTGGTTTATTACAGACACAGCTGAGATCAACCATTTGTCCATCTTACCAAAGATCATCACCAATGGCCAGCACTCCAGCACTCCACCCAAGGAAACCCTGCAAGTCCATCGGCAGAACCAGGATTGGAACCCAGGGCTCTAAACTCCTGGTCTACTGCTCTTTGGATGGTCCCACAGCACCTTAGTAGCCTTCAGTCCTTACTCACATGAGTCTCAACTATCTGGGTTCACCATCCCCTTTCAATTGTAATGAAAACCAATCCTCAAAGAGGAAAAATCAAATGCACATTTACAGGGGATTTTGTATAATAACTTCTGGGTGTCCACAGACCCTCTGGACTACAGGTAAAAAGCTCCTGCTTTAGCGGAACGAGTTTTCTCAGAAACACCGGTAAGACAAACTCCCTCAACTGTCTGGCCAGAGCGCTGCCCAGTCGGAAGCACTTGTGCGCAACTGTCCACCTTGTTCCTACTCATCTTGGTGATGACATTCCCAAATCCGGAATTCTGTTGGTTAACAGGCCCACACTTTCCATGCTATTTGTTTTTTAACTGGAAGAACTCTAAGCAGCATGTCAGACAGAAGATAAGGACACTCGAGGAGAAGTCAGAAGAGCTATGCTCTCGCTCTGGCATAAGTGCCCACCAGTACCTCCTGTCTTCCCTATATGCAGGGTTACTATCGTCTCAGATGAAGGAGGGACTGGCACCCAGAAAGACTGAACTAATGTGAGGGCTCCTTATCAAAGGGTAACCGGGGGCTGAGCTGTATCCTCTGCCATGAAACTTCAACTCATTCCCACTTCAGAAATCCTACAACCCTTTATCATTGACGTCAATTTAATTAAGAAGGCAAAGTAAGTAACCTTAAAGACAATACAAGGAGGACAAAAGGATGCTAATGAGTCAATTTTCTAGTTTCTCTTCCTTGCTAGGCCCTTCCCTACAACTAACAAAAGAGAAAGTGAGAATACCTCTTAATTAAATAAAAACATTTAAAGGTTTGTTATCAAAAACCATTTACTATTAAGAACCAATGTATCGATTAGCTTTAAAATGACAGCTCGGAAAAATTTCACATAAAGACCTGCTACAGGAAACAAGCTAAAATTTTTATTAAATAAATATTTTAACTCAACTCAAACTATTTTGGAATCACTGAGTAGCTGCAAAGAAAACTATTAACCATGTTGTGGGCAATGCAGCAGTCACTCGGAGTCTGTGAAGCACACTCTGAGCTGTTTTCCTCCGCCCTCTCCACCATCCACATCCCCAGTGAGGTCAATGTGTGCTCACCACAGATGTCTGCCTAGGAATAGGGACCGTGTTCAGGACTGTGAAATGGAGTCACTTCACCTACATAACACAAATGGTCCCCTTGGGGACATATCCTCTGCAGAACCCTTTGTGGTGGACTTTCTTTTTTCTTCCTGTGGGAGGTGTGGGGAGCGACAGGGGAAAGCATAGGATTTGGAAAGCAACCTTGATTCGAAGCCTAGCTTTGTTACTTTCAGCTGTGGGTGCTGAATAAATCACTTAGCCTCTCACTGAGTAGCAGCGTTCTACAGTGGGGATGTTACAATATCCACCTGCCTGGATTTTTTTTAAAGGTTGAAAGAGATCTTAAGTGTGAAGGCACCCAGCAGAGAGTCTGGCACGTGGCAGCCACTCCAATCGCGGCTGTTTATTCATCCCTCCCCAAACCCCACAATTTTACTTGATCAAAAGCACCCTAGACACAGGTATGCCTTGGGACATGCCTAGGTGACAGTAAGCACTCATCTTGCGTTCTCACCTTAATGGTCACAAAACAGAGTGCTCATCTTCTCTGTCATCGAGTTATTTTACATTTCTTCTATTAAAGAATTTCAAACTGCCAAATGGGCTCTGGCAAGCAATCTAAGAAAATGAAATGGTGAGTTTAATGCAGTATTTTCCCACTAGGTGGTGCTGCAAGTTAAAACTTTCCCTCAAGTTAACTTACCCCTCCAATACGTTAACTTCTAAATCGGGGAAACGGACTGGACGCCCCTCGGAAGACGAAAGAATCAATGTGCAACCAAAAAAATAATTTATTGGTAATTCCTCAAAAAAATTAACACCAAGGCAAATGAGTTAATTCAACATTCAGTGCCCCGTTCAGAGCCGAGACGGAGACGGTGCCTGCTCTCACCGAGCGCACAATCTAGAGGACCCAACGCCACCTTAATCACATAAAGAGTCCCTAACCGTGAAATATTTTCACAACTACTTTTCGTATTCACTTTTTTTTTTTTTTAACGAAAGTCGTCCTGGTTTGTTTTCCGGTTGGCAATTTCGTAGGCTACGACGGAATTCTAGGCCAAGGGAAAACTGTCAGGTGCTGCGGCCACCCTTGTCTCAGACCAGCGCGTCGGGCAGGTGTCAGGTGCCCAAACGTGCCTACCCGAAGTCCCAGCCCGAAGGCCCGGCCCACTTCGGGGCCTACGCCGGTCCCTCCGCCCCTCGGCCGGCACGGCGAGGCCTCGCCCTCCTCCCGCACCGCGAGCCCTCGGCACTCACCATGGCCGCGAGGCTCTGGCTCCTGCCCCGCAGCGCCGCGAACCAACGCCGCGTCGCCCCTCGCGCCCCCAGCGCCGCAGCCATAATCTCTGGCCGAGGGCTGTCCGGCGCGCTGCCTGACCGCCCCTGCCCGGAGTCAGGGGCAGAGCGGGCAGCTCCCAGCCACGGCCCAGGACTTCCCGCACAACCCGGCCCCGCGCCGCGCAGGCCCAGACGCGGACCTGCCCCGGAAGGTCCCCAGATGCTACAATGGCCGGCGACGCTGCTGGCATCTAGGCGGACGCGCGGCAGGCCCCCGGCAGGCTTCCGCAGGCCCATATGTTGTCAACCCCGGCTCTGCGGCCCGTCCCCGTCATCCCCGCCCGGTGCCAGGTTTCCCGCCTGTGCGAGAGCGGTAGGCGTGCTGGCGAGGCGATGAGGATGGACCTCCGCTTCGCTCTTCGGTGTCCGGGCCTCGGGTTGTCGCCGACCGTCTGACCGCACTGGGCTCCCTTCTGGGCGGTGGGGCGAACAGTCCGCGCGGGCGGGAGGACGTCGCGGGCAGGGGCAGGAACAGATGAGCTGCAGAGGGGCGGGGGGTGATTGGGAACCACTCCCCTCCGCTCGCGGTTGAGTGAACCATAGTGATCCGCATAAGGGCCTCAAGGCAGGGAGCCGCCGGTTGGAAAGTGAGCTCTGCTCTGTTATTACTTAGCTGCCGATGCCCTGGGCAAACTGGCTCATCTGTCTTTGCCTAGATAAAATAATTTGGAAAACCTAGCTCATAGTGCTCTCTAGAAGGTAGCACACGCACGGTACACAGTTAGGCACCTCGGAGATACACGTGGACAGATCTAGATAAATTTTTTTTATATATTTATTTTTCGATAAAAGGAGTATTCTTTCTTTTTTATATTTGTATTAGTATTTTATTCTCTTATCATTCCTCCTTTTTTTGCCTTTTTTTCTTTTTGAGGTGTAATTCACATACCATAAAATTCACCCTTTAAAGTGTACAATTCAGTGGTTTTTAGTATATTCACTTGTATCTTTTTTTACTAAATAGTTTAAGCAAATTAATAATATAAGCAGTTTTGCAGAGGACATAGCAATACACTCGAATATTTTTTTAAAACGAGTCCATTTAAGTTCAACTTAGCAGTTGCTAGCATTTGGTTTTATTTCTCATGTGGACTTGGAAAATTTAAAGCCTTTTTACCCAAAATAGTCTAAAATTCAGACTCATGGCCCAGCCCATCTTCTTTGCTTTTGCCCACTTGATGAAAACTCAGCAGAGCAATCTTGCTGTAGACCTTCATCAGATGTCACTGGTCTCAAGGCATTTATCTTAAGACATTCTAGTTTCCTTTGCCTGATGCCTTAGGTGGACAGAGGCAAGGGTTGGAATTAAAAATTGTATTTCCAATATTTATTTTGGGTTTTTAGGATCATGAAAAATGCTATAGAAACTTGCTCATTACAGTGAGAACTGAGAAATGAACTGGTAGTTGTGAGGTAACAAGTTGGAGACCCCTCATCATTTTCAGTAGTTTGCTTTCATCATTTTCCTTCCCTAACACCACTGTACGAGACTGTGGCATGTCAGCTCTAGTCACGAAAGCAGCGGCAGGATGCTAGTGCTAGTTAGGGCCCAGGGGAAGTGATGTCCACCAGTAGGGGCTGTGAATGCCCGGCCCTCACATGTAGGTCTCTTAGCAGGATTTAAGTCCCTCAGCAAAGATTTACTGGGCACATCGTCTGTAATGGACACTGTTGAGAAAAGCAGTCTCCTGCTCACAGTCTTTCACATAAGAATAGGCCTTGGACCTGGGACACATCCTTACCAAAACAGAGCCCACACACACTGTGCCAGGCTTATCAGCCTGTGAAGGTATCCTTCCCTGTTTCCGACTGAATGTGTGCTCCTTTGTTCTGCTTAAGCATGGAGGTCAATGACCTTGGGGCACACAATGCTATGGCACTAGAGGGGTGCTCTTCAACCATAGGCTGGGGGTGAGGGACACCCATGAGCCACTCTGCACACTACTGTGACTGATCTTACTGTCTCTAAGTGAATAAAAACACTTCCATCCAGTGCTTGACCATGTTGTTTTCCTTGGCAACTCTGATACCAAGAAGTCATGGACAGAAGTGTTTGGACTTATATCCCTGGTGGCTGGCATTGTGATGATCCTTGCTATCCTCCATGTAGTTGCAGTCCCCTTCTGGCATTGGTTCCTGGTACACGGTGTTCTCGACAGACAAGTTTGGCTTGGGGTGGTTTAGCTGGTCTTGGACCACTTCCTTCCCCCCCCCACCACCACCGTCTGCTTCCCTGTCCCTCAACACCAGTGCTTCCGGCTGACCCTCCACACTTGTACCTTCCTCCAGGGAGCAGCCCTGCTCCACATTTCCCTCCAGGGGAAACTCTGTAGCTTATCTGAGCTAAGTGTCAGAAGCAAAGCCATGGATCTGGTGGTCATCCTGGGAGCCTTTCCTCACCCTCCAGACTAGAATAGGGCCCCATTACATAGCAAACAATATAAAAATTTCCGTATCCTTGATAGGATAACGCCCACTCTTAGAATCTGCCCCCAAGGAAATAAGACTATATACACAACCATAAATCCAGCAAAAGAGCACAGGTTAGATAAGTAATGCTGAATCTATTCAAAGGCCTATTATGTAGCCACGGTTAGGAAAACTATTACCAACAGTGAAACATTTATAATTTGTTAAGCAAAAGAAGAAAAACGCTATATCATGACTACAAGTATGGGAAACACACATTAAAAAAGACTGGAGTGATAGGCATACGATGGTTGCCTGAGCCGTGGCAGAGAGGCAGGACTGGGTACCGACCCACATAGAGGCTCTGGAGTCAGAATGCTGAGGTTTGAAGCTGGGTTCCACCACTGGAAGCTGTATAAACAAGAGCAAGTTATTTAGGGCCTCATTTACTCATTTTAGAGTGGTGTCAATCTCAGAGGGCTATTGTACAGATAAATGAAACGGTGTATGTCAAGCACCTCAAACAGTAGCTGGCACACACAGTAATATTCAAATGTTGGTTATTATTATATGAGATGGAATAACTAGAGGTTTCTTTTCTTATACGTACAGATAAACATACACGTGAAGGTTCAAATCCCAGCTTCATCAATGTACTGTGTATGTAACCTAGGTAAGTTATTTAACCTCAATATGCCTGTTTGCTCATTTGTAAAATGGAAGTAATAATGGTACTGTTCTGAGCTATGGTCCCCTCCTGCCAGTGACTACCCCAGCCAGAGCTGTCCACAGCATGACACATAACATTGTAAACTCTCAACCAATGTTACACTCTGAGAAGGAGACTCATCTAAGGTTCTATTTTCATAGAATTTAGGACGCCTTATGAACTATTCTATCTAAAGCTCTGGAAATGATCAGTATAAAAGTAGTTTATCATTATGGAGTCAGCTGTTATATCCGAATTTAAGGGATAAACAGCTTTTCAAAAAGTTTATGTAAATTACATGTTATCTCTTTTCTACACGTATCCTAAACTAGACTAGAATCAACTTGTGGGCAACAACAGTACTTTATATTTCTTTTGACTCTCACTAAACCTAGCACAATTCCAAGAACATTTTAAGGTTTAATTAGTGCATGCTGATTAATATCTGCCTTACCCAGAAACAACTTCTTAACCCACTTCAGATGCTTTCAGTAAAATCAGAGATCATGAACACCAAGGTATTTGACTCTTTATTTTCCCATTGGTTGCTACTTGAAAGGGCACACTTATCGATCCTAATTATTCTTCCCATAAAAGAACACTTTCCTGCTTACTGACTCTGGGAGAGAAATGGCAAATGAACAGAAAACCAACTTTCTTAGACATATACAAGAAACCAAGAGTTTTCTAAAACTATAATCTGAAAGTCCTATTTCTGCCTCTATATAGTAAGCATACTGTCATTCTACTCACTATTCCACTAGAATACATCTTCACATGTCAAACTGGATGACTCCCTTAAGTACTGGGTAATGTTCAAGTTGTAAAAACAAGAATTTTTACTGAATGTTATGGAATATTTTTGCATTTGCTTATTACAATACTAGTAGAAACACCAGTTTATAATTTTTTTACACATTCAACAGTTCAACAAACACATGATTCTTTCAATCTGACTGAAGTTGTAAGTCAGCGCTTCACTGGAGAAAATGTATGAAATTGCAGCGTTAATTTCTGAAATGAAGGATTGAAATTCTTCTTTCCAACTCTCCTTTGAGTCTATCACTACTCTGCATGTTCCTGCTCTTGTCCTGGAATTAGCCATCGAATACTCTCAGTTCGAACGGTAGCATACATAATAAAACTAATTAAAAAGAATAAGGAAAATACAAGCAACCAGTCTACATTTTTTATCAAAGTGCTGGGAAGAGGACCTATTTGGTCAGCTTGAGTTACCACCACATTTTTCTTGGCTTCTATACCTGAAAGAGAAATCAGTTGTTTCAAATGAGACAGAAAACATACCCGCTACAGAATTTTCTTAAGTATTCTGCATGGCATGCAAAATGATATGCAGTCTTAAAATAAACACCACAGCTAGTATATCTGGGATGGGTTTCACTTGCCTGTCAGTGTAATCTGTAACTTGCCCTTTTCCCCACCACATCAAAGGAGCAGGAATTCATTCAGCTGTTCAAAGCTAAAACACTAGAATTTCAGTGAACTCACCAGAAAGGTCTTAGTCGGTGCACTGTATGAGTTGTCTTTTGGTCTCTTTCAAGACCAATGTTCAACAACTAGTAAAGCTATTCTCAGGAGTCTACAGAATGTTTTCACAGGGTAAGTAATGCTAAATTCAAAATGCTTTTAACTAATTTACTGAAAGAATTGTTAGGGGACTTCCCTGGCAGTCCAGTGGTTAAGACTCCACACTTCCACTGCAGGGTGCAGGTTCATTGCCTGGTTGGGGAACTAAGATCCTGCATGCCATGTGGCACGGCCAAAAAAAAAAAAAAAAAAAAAAAGAGTTAAGCTGAGCTCATTTAAAATAAAAAGAAGAACAATTTTTAGAACAACTAACCACCACTGGGATCAGTGATTACCAAAGATGCTGTGACTCCTAGATTTCATTTGGTTCTAAGTTTTCTGAGAGCACTGAGCAAAGTGGCTCCCCCTCTCCATATCAATCTAAACAACAACCAGGGGTCCAGGACAAGACTTGGAATAACTAACTACCTGGTAAGAAGCCTTTTACTCCTATGAGGTAACTCAGTTCTTTGTTCTTCTGTGTTAGATATAAGTCATTATATGCAGCTAAGAATATATGGAAGGTATGTTATAATTTTTATTTACTTCCAGTGATATATTTCAGGAAGAAGAGGGGTGCTCATAACTGAGGCATTAAAGCTTTTGAGGAATGAATTTTCCAACAAAGGAAATTTCATCAATGTACAGTGCTCAGATTTTTACAGGATAAAAATAAGGCCCTATGTTTTGGCAAATATTAAGGAATTAAAATAGCATCTACAAATGAATTAATAAATAGAACTCTATACAGCAACAAACATGAATAAAACACAACCATACACAACAATGCAGATGCATCCCATAAACATAATGGTCAGTGAAATCAGCCAGACGTGGAAGGATCCATACTATACGTCTCCATTAATATAAAAGTCAAAAACAAGGAACACTGGGGCTTCCCTGGTGGCGCAGTGGTTGAGAGTCCACCTGCTGATGCAGGGGACACGGGTTCGTGTCCCGGTCCGGGAAGATCCCACATGCCACGGAGCGGCTGGGCCCGTGAGCCATGGCCGCTGAGCCTGCGCGTCCGGAGCCTGTGCTCCGCAACGGGAGAGGCCACAGCAGTGAGAGGCCCACGTACCGCAAAAAAAAAACAAAAAAACAAGGAACAGTACACTATGGTGTTAGGAGTGAAGATGGTGGTTATCCTTGGGGAGGACAGGAGTGAGAGTGCTGAAAGGGGACTGGTGATGTTCTCTTTCTGCGTACTGGTTACTCAGGGTGTTCACTGTGAAAATTCAGTGCCACGTACACTAGTGATGGATGCATATTTTTGTGTAAATATTATACTTCAATGAATAATGTACGTAAAACAGTATCTAGAGGTGTATAGTATGTGAATTTTCTCTCAATAAAGCTGTTACATTTTTTAAAGGCATCTATAATCATATTAGCATCACCTATTCATGTTAAGCTTGCCACTGACCGGGAGACGTTTAACAGGATCTTAACATTTCATTAGAAAAGAAGTTTTCTATCCTAAAGCCAATCTTGAATCCTTCACTTAAGGACAATACTGTAGCAGATCGGAACCCACAGAAGGCACGTTCCTCCAGCAATAAAATGTCTTCTTCTAGTGTTCTACATACCTGTCTGGTTAAAAATGAAGATTTTCAGCGTTTCCAATGTTCGGTCTGTATGATTAAATCTAGCCATTGGTTTAGCCCCTTGAAATAACAAGATGTTAGGAACGGCTACAGTGCCAAACCTCGTAGAAAGGCTGCAAGAGAGAGAAGTTGGTCAGAAAACCTGAATTAACAGTGGGCTTCCTCACACAATTACCATATCAGAATGGATGGAAATAAATGAGGAAGGCTCAGTTTCCTGTGACCTATGGAGGCTCCTGATACTGAAACAACAGGCTTGTAGTTGCTCCTGACAGCCCTCCTCGTGGGTCATGGTTGGGGGCATTCGTGTTCTGTTCTCTGAGTTGCTTTCTGTTACAACATGGAGCTGCCCATGACACAATTATTCCACTAGTTCTGTTTTTAACAGCCAAAACAGATCAGACCAGAAAATTCTAATTTATGAACAAAGCACACTATGTCAATTTACCTAACAGAAGAAATTTCAGACTGCAGAATGCCCATCTCCAACCCTCATAAGAGATTCAACTTAAGCATTTAGGCTAGTGAGTCGGTGCAAAGGAAGCTACAACCTAACAAACACACCAGGAAGTTCACAATTAAGGCAGGACAATTCAGAAGTAATAGGACCTGAGCAGTACTGTTTCACTTTTACAGAATACAGAGTAGTGGTATAAGCTCCAGAGTCAAAATGCTCAGGGTTTAAGCCTCAGTTCTGCCACTGAACCAGCTGTGTGACCTTTGGGCAGATTATTTAACCTTTTTAAGCCTCAGTTACCCCCAGAAGTAAAATGGTAATATTGTATGATCAGGGTTTTTCCTTCTGTAAACATGCTGTAACATAAATATTAACATATGAGGCAAACACATGTCCTACGCCATACAGTAAGAGCGAGTATCCTCTATTCTCCATAATTGAGGCACCATACCAGGCACTGAGAAGGATGCATGGTGATGAAAAAGGAACAGAGGAGATGATAAAAGCCTGCAGGGATTGGGGGGCAGCACGGGGGTTAGTATCAGACCCATAACCAAACAGCACTAAGCAGGTGCTTGGAGCCAGCCCTGCTGGCTTGGGGGCAGTGGAGAGCCCAGTCAAAGCTGGACAATGACCTTGAATGTCCTTCCAATCAGTCTGTAACCTTGAGCCTGGCCACTGAGATCTTTCCCTGAAGGCTTTGTGGGAATTACTAATTTGTTGGGCAATTTCTTTATTCATGAACAATTTCAGGTAAACACTGGCAGTTCTATTACCCACCCTGAAAATCAGTGCCTCATTTTCACCACCAACTTGACTATCTTCCAGACTTTCCAAACTTATTCACACACAACCTCCTTGTGACCTGCTAATAAGCAGCATCTGACTTAGAGGAGGAGGGGAGTACACAGTTTATAACCCCAGGCACAGTCACAGGGGAAATATACAACATGTGCACAAAGTTCTTTGTAACTTACCTTATTGAACATTCAGAAAAGACAAAACCCCACTGAACAATATGAAAGAACATAAAGCAAGGGTAAATGTATTTCAAAGGCCTAAACTAATTCATCAAATTCATTGAACGTCTACTAAGAACACACATGCAAGAATAAATGTAAACATGAAGAAAGAAAAGGAAGGAGGGAAAGAAGGAAAGAAAAAACTAAAAAGGAAAGAAAGAAATCCTTAGTAGACATAAAACGAGTGCCGAGAGTTAGGCTGCCAGGGTGGGAACCTAAGCTACAGATGAAAGTCACAAAGGAAGACCCTACTTAGGATGCTAATTTTGCTAATTCAGTCTGGCCCAGACCCTAAAACGTCCTCTGCCCCCACCCCTGCCATCAGGCAGAGCCTTCACTGAATTCCACCACGCAGAGAACAGTCTTTCTTTCTCAAGGGGCCTCCAGAAAGTCTCCCTCGGGAATGTGACAGTCCTCACTAGTCACACTTGTTTCTCCCTCCCTCAGTTCCATTTCAAAGCTCAAGCTCAAACCTACCTCCTCTGCTCCTAACTTAACTGATTACAACCTCCAAGTAACTGCAACCATCATCCAACAGGATGAGGCAGAAACCCCACTAAGGGAAGATACTAAGGGAAGATACCTGCTGTGCTGAGATGCATCCAGTGCCAAAAAGTGAAGAGCTGGAAACGCCCGGGGCAGAGAGTTAAAATGAGGGGCCAAACTGGCAGAAAATCGGCACCAAGGGGTGTAAAACAGGACTAGAGTGCAGTCGCTACCGTTTGGGTTGAGAAAATCCATAAGGTCCTATGGCAAAAGAAACAAAGTGTTAAAGTCAGCAGTACAGGATGTGCACTTTTTCTGGAAGGATACACAAGAAACAGGAACCACTGCTGCCGTCAAGGGAGAGGAGGTAGGGGCAGGGACGGGAGGGAGACAGTAGTGCAGCTCCCGAAGAACCTTCTGGATTGGAACCATAGGGATCCATGGGTCAGCAGAAAAGAACTATCAAATGACATGTTATAAACTTTCCTCCAAGGTTTTTTTTTTTTTTTAATTGAAGTATATAGTTGATTTACAATGTTGCGTTAATTTCTTTTCCATTATGGTTTATCAGAGGATATTAAATACAGTTTCCTATGCTATACAGCAAGACGTTGTTGTTTATCCACTCTCTATGTGATAGTTTGCATCTACTAATCACAAACTCCCAGTCTATCCCTTCCCCACCCCCTTCTTCCTTGGCAACCACAAGTCTGTCCTCTATGCCTGTGAGTCTGTTTCTGTTTCCTGCATAGGTTCATTTGTGTCATATTTGAGATTCAACACATAAGTGATATCATATGCTATTTGTCTTTTTCTTTCTGACTTACTTCACTTAGTATAATAATCTATAGGTCCATCTATATTGCTGCAAATGGCATTATTTCATTCTTTTTTATGGCTGAGTAATATTCCATTGTATATATGTACCACATCTTCTTTATCCATTCCTCTGTCAGTGGACATTTAGGCTGTTTCCATGTCTTGCCTATTGTAAATACTGCTGCTATGAACACAGGGGTGCATGTATGTTCTTTTTTTTTCTTTTGGCTGCACTGTGCAGCATGCAGGATCTTAGTTCCCCAACCATGAATTGAACCTGCGCCCCCTGCAGTGGAAGCGTGGACTCTTAATCACTGGACTGCCAGGGAAGTCCCAGCATGTATTATTATTATTTTTTTACATCTTTATTGGAGTATAATTGCTTTACAATGGTGTGTTAGTTTCTCCTTTATAACAAAGTGAATCAGTTATATGTATACATATGTCCCGATATCTCTCACCTCTTGCGTCTCCCTCCCTCCCACCCTCCCTATCCCACCCCTCCAGGCGGTCACAAAGCACCGAGCTGATCTCCCTGTGCTATGCGGCTGCTTCCCACTAGCTATCTACCTTATGTTTGGTAGTGTATATATGTCCATGCCTCTCTCTCGCTTTGTCACAGCTTACCCTTCCCCCTCCCCATATACTCAAGTCCATTCTCTAGTAGGTCTGTGTCTTTATTCCTGTCTTACCCGTAGGTTCTTCGTGACATTTTTTTCTTAAATTCCATATATATGTGTTAGCATACAATATTTGTCTTTCTCTTTCTGACTTACTTCACTCTGTATGACAGACTCTAGGTCTGTCCACCTCATTACAAATAGCTCAATTTCATTTCTTTTTATGGCTGAGTAATATTCCATTGTATATATGTGCCACATCTTCTTTATCCATTCATCCGATGATGGACACTTAGGTTGTTTCCGTCTCCGGGCTATTGTAAATAGAGCTGCAATGAACATTTTGGTACATGACTCTTTTTAAATTATGGTTTTCTCAGGGTATATGCCCAGTAGTGGGATTGCTGGGTCATATGGTAGTTCTATTTTTAGTTTTTTGAGGAAACTTCATACTGTCTCCATAGTGGCTGCACCAATTTACATTCCCACCAAGAGTGTAGGAGGGGTCCTCCTCTAAGCTTTCTTAATATTACTATAGAGCAATTTTAATATTTTTCATAATTCATCAATTCATATACTAAGTACTCACAGGGTACAGGCCATGGTCCCAACTTTGGACTTCTGCATCTCACAACAATCTAACAACATTATTAAAGCACTGTGGTCTCAGGCCCAAACTATCATCTCAGCAGCTCCAAGTCTGCACTAAGCAGTCAGATCCATGTATTTGACCAAAGGTTAGTTCAGTTTGAGGGTGCACCATCCCTGCCACCACCAAAACTCAGACTGCTCAAACTGCTTGCTCCTGTGTGCTCCTTGTGGGTGTGGCACAAAAAGGCCACAGAGCTGAGGCACAGCATTCACCAGGCACTGAGGGGAGGGTGCAAGGCCAGTGCTGACACCTGCCTCGGAGGGGCACTCAACATATGTACCCTCATTTAAAATAAGCAATCACACCTCTCAGAGCTAGGATTCTTCTCTTACATAAGCAGCCTGAATTCATTCAGGCTTGCTGAATGGATACAAAAACAAGACCCATATATATGGTGTCTACAAGAGACCCACTTCAGACCTAGGGACATATACAGACCGAAAGTGAGGGGATGTTAAAAGATATTCCATGCAAATGGAAATCAAAAGAAAGCTGGAGTAGCAATACTCATATCAGATAAAATAGACTTTAAAATAAAGAATGCTACAAGAGACAAGGAGGGACACTACATAATGGTCAAGGGATCAATCCAAGAAGAAGATATAACAATTATAAATTTATATGCACCCAACATAGCAGCACCTCAATACATAAGGCAACTGCTAACAGCTATAAAAGAGAAAATCGACAGTAACACAATAATAGTGGGGGACTTTAACACCTCACTTACACCAATGGACAGATCATACAAAATGAAAATAAATAAGGAAACAGAAGCTTTAAATGACACAACAGACCAGATGGATTTAACTGATACTTATAGGATATTCCATCCAAAAACAGCAGATTACACTTTCCTCTCAAGTGTGCATGGAACATTCTCCAGGATAGATCACATCTTGGGTCACAAATCAAGCCTCAGTAAATTCAAGAAAATTGAAATCATATCAAGCATCTTTTCTGACTACAACGCTATGAGATTAGAAAAGAATTACAGGGAAAAAAACATAAAAAACACAAACACATGGAGGCTAAACAATACATTACTAAATAACCAAGAGATCACTGAAGAAATCAAAGAGGAAATCAAAAAATACCTAGAGACAAATGACAATGAAGACATGATGATCCAAAACCTACGGGATGCAGCAAAAGCAGTTCTAAGAGGGAAGTTTACAGCTATACAAGCCTACCTCAAGAAACAAGAAAAATCTCAAATAAACAATCTAACCTTACACCTAAAGGAACTAGAGAAAGAAGAACAAACAAAACCCAAAGTTAGCAAAAGGAAAGAAATCATAAAGATCAGAGCAAAAATAAATGAAATAGAAACAAAGAAAACAATAGCAAAGATCAATAAAACTAAAAGCTGGTTCTTTGAGAAGATAAACAAAATTGATAAACCAGTAGCCAGACTCATCAAGAAAAAGAGGGAGAGGACTCAAATCAATAAAATTAGAAATGAAAAAGGAAAAGTTACAACAGACACCGCAGAAATACAAAGCATCCTAAGAGCCTACTACAAGCAACTCTATGCCAATAAAATGGACAACCTGGAAGAAATGGACAAATTCTTAGACAGGTATAACCCTCCAAGACTGAACCAGGAAGAAACAGAAAATATGAACAGTCCAATCACAAGTAATGAAATTGAAACTGATTAAAAATCTTCCAACAAACAAAAGTCCAAGACTTCACAGGTGAATTTTATCAAACATTTAGAGGAGAGCTAACACCCATCCTTCTCAAACTCTTCCAAAAAATTGCAGAGGAAGGAACACTCCCAAACTCATTCTATGAGGCCACCATCACCCTGACACCAAAACCAGAGAAAGATCTACAAAAAAAGAAAATTACAGACCAATATCACTGATGAATATGGATGCAAAAATCCTCAACAAAATACTAGCAAACAGAATCCAACAACACATTAAAAGGATCATACAGCATGATCAAGTGGGATTTATCCCAGGGATGCAAGGATTCTTCAATATATGCAAATCAATCAATGTGATACACCATATTAACAAATTGAAGGAGAAAAACCACATGGTCATCTCAATAGATGCAAAAGAAGCTTTCGACAAAATTCAACACCCATTTATGATAAAAACCCTCCAGAAAGTGGGCATAGAGGGAACCTACCTCAACATAATAAAGGTCACATACGACAAACCCACAGCAAACATCATTCTCAATGGTGAAAAACTGAAAGCATTTCCTCTAAGATCAGGAACAAGAAAAGGATGTCCACTCTCACCATTATTATTCAACATAGTTTTGGAAGTCCTAGCCACGACAATCAGAGAAGAAAAAGCAACAAAAGGAATACAGACTGGAAAAGAAGAAGTAAAACTGTCACTGTTTGCAGATGACACGATACTATACATAGAGAATCCTAAAGATGCTACCAGAAAACTACTAGAGCTAATTAACGAGTTTGGTAAAGTAGCAGGATACAAAATTAATTCACAGAAATCTCTTGCATTCCTATACACTAATGATGAAAAATCTGAAAGAGAAATGAAGGAAACACTGCCATTTACCACTGCAACAAAAAGAATAAAATACCTAGGAATAAACCTACCTAGGGAGACAAAAGACCTGTATGTAGAAAACTGTAAGACACTGATGAAAGAAATTAAAGATGATACCAACAGATGGAGAGATATACCATGTTCTTGGATTGGAAGAATCAATATTGTGAAAATGACTATACTACCCAAAGCAATCTACAGATTCAATGCAATCCCTATCAAATTACCAATGGCATTTTTTACGGAATTAGAACAAAAAATCTTAAATTTGTATGGAGACACAAAAGACCCCAAATAGCCAAAGCAGCCTTGAGGGGAAAAAACCGAGCTAGAGGAATCAGACTCCCTGACTTCAGACTATACTACAAAGCTACAGTAATCAAGACAATATGGTACTGGCACGAAAACAGAAACAAACATCAATGGAACAAGATAGAAAGCACAGAGATAAACCCATACACCTATGGTCAACTAATCTATGACAAAGGAGGCAAGGATATACAATGGAGAAAGACGGTCTCTTCAATAAGTGGTGCTGGGAAAACTGGACAGTTACATGTAAAAGAAAGAAATTAGAACACTCCCTAACACCATACACAAAAATAAACTCAAAATGGATTAGAGACCTAAATGTAAGACCGGACACTATAAAACTCTTAGAGGAAAACATAGGAAGAACACTCTGACATAAATCACAGCAAGATATTTTTTGATCCACCTCCTAGAGTAATGGGACCTAAGGAAACTTCAAAGCTTTTGCACAGCAAAGGAAACCATAAACAAGATGAAAAGACAATCCTCAGAATGGGGGAAAATATTTGCAAACGAATCAACAGACAAAAGATTAATCTCCAAAATATATAAACAGCTCACACAGCTCAATATTAAAAAACAAACAACCCAATCCAAAAACGGGCAGGAGACCTAAATAGACATTTCTCCAAAGAAGACATACAGATGGCCAACAGGCACATGAAAAGCTGCTCAACATCACTAATTATTAGAGAAATGCAAATCAAAACTACAGTGAGGTATCCCCTCAAACCAGTTAGAATGGGCATCATCAGAAAATCTACAAACAACAAATGCTGGAGAGGGTGTGGAGAAAAGGGAACCCTCTTGCACTGTTGGTGGGAATGTCAATTGATACAGCCACTATGGAGAACAGTATGGAGGTTCCTTAAAAAACTAAAAATAGAATTACCATATGATCCAGCAATCCCACTACTGGGCATATACCCAGAGAAAACCATAATTCAAAAAGACACATGCACCCCAATGTTCATAGCAGCTCTATTTACAATAGCCAGGTCATGGAAGCAACCTAAGTGTCCATTGACAGATGAATGGATAAAGAAGATGTGGTACATATATACAATGGAGTATTACTCAGCCATAAAAAGGAATGAAATTGGGTCATTTGTTGAGACGTGGATGGATCTAGAGACTGTCATACAGAGTGAAGTGAGTCACAAAGAGAAAAACAAATATCGTATATTAACGCATATATGTGGAACCTAGAAAAATAGTACAGATGAACCAGTTTGCAGGGCAGAAACTGAGACACAGATGTAGAGAACAAACGCATGGACACCAAGGGGGCAAAGCAGTGGCGGGTGGGGGTGGGGGTGTGTGTGATGAATTGGGTGATTGGGATTGACATGTATACACTGATTTGTATAAAACTGATGACTAGTAAGAAGCTGCTGTATAAAAAAAATTTTTTTTAAATAAACAAATAACAAAAAACATACTTCGCAACCTAAGTGTCCATCGACAGATGAATGCATAAATAAGACGTGGCACATATATACAATGCAATATTACTCAGCCATAAAAAGAAACGAAATTGAGTTATTTGTAGTGAGGTGGATGGACCTAGAGTCTGTCATACAGAGTGAAGTAAGTCAGAAAGAGAAAAACAAATATCATATGCTAACGCATATATATGGACTCTAAAAAAAAAAAAATGTTTCTGAAGAACCTAGGGGCAGGACAGGAAAAAAGACACAGACGTAGAGAATGGACTTGAGGACACGGGAGGGGGAAGGGTAAGCTGGGACGAAGTGAGAACAGCACTGACATGTATACACTACCAAATGTAAAACAGACAGCTAGTGGGAAGCAGCTGCATAGCACAGGGAGATCAGCTCAGTGCTTTGTGACCACCTAGAGGGGTGGGATAGGGAGGGTGGGATAGGGAGGGTGGGAGGGAGACACAAGAGGGAGGATATATGGGGATATATGTTTATGTATAGCTGATTCACTTTGTTATACAGCAGAAACTAACACAACATTGTAAAGCAATTATACTCCAGTAAAGATGTTAAAAAAATATATATATATATATATATATATGTATAAAACATACTCCTCAGGGACATGACTAGTCTAAACAATGCTAACTTACAATTTTAGTAATTCAGATATTTTATTTTTATGCCTCCATAACAAATACCTCATTTAGAAGAAGAATGCTATGACTCTGATACCAAGCACCTATCTGTCCACTGGGATTTTTATCATAAGACTTGGTGGTGAGATTAACCCAAGGCTGACTAGGTTTAGGCCTCCTAAAAAGCATATTCGACCCTAGTTATATCTCCTCCTTTTCCTACAAACGTCACAGAAAGCCAGGTGAATTTTCACTGATGCAGCCATTAAATGCTATCCCACTTACAATATGATAAAGATTATGACTCCTCATTTGAAAGTTGATAGAGTATTAAATCGTCAAGTGAATGTGCGGAAAAGGAGAAAAGCACTAAATACTTTTGTCTTACCTGTGACATATTTAAAATTTTCAGAGTGAAATTTTCTAATCCCGTCACATTTCTCTCCTCGCAGTTCACCTTCGGGGATTTCAGACTTTCAGTGGTGTTGGCGTCCTCTGTCGGCGGGGGGTCAGATTCCACCACTTCGGGCTCTGCGTAGTACTCCTCTTCTCGCTCCGGGAAGCTGGCTCCAGCGCTGTCCAGAGAGAAGAGGCTCTCCCGGGGGTTGCACCTCGAGTCCTCCTCCCCTCCAGCCCTGCAGGTGCCGCCGCTGGGCTCTGGGCTCAGTTTGTCCTCAGCTTCCCCAGGAATCACAGACAACATTACCATGTGTTCACCATCAGCGTCCAGCCCCAGCACTGCCTCGGCCTCTTCTGCAGACAGGTCCTGGCCCACTGGGTCACGGGAGGGCACCTCCTCACTCATGTACCCAGCCGCCACCTGGAATGGGTAAGCAGGCTGCTCCTCTGACCATAAGTGACCTCTTTTCTCTGCAACTAAAACATGCCACTATGTTCACAGTCACATCTAACTTCAAAATAAATGAATCCCAAAGAATTACAGTTCTCAAATATGAAATTTTCCCCTCCAGAGTAAAAAGTTACCTTCCCATTAAACTATCACAGAGCCACCCATCATTCTCCAGGTCATGAAGAAGATCACAAGGAGATACTAGATCAATGAATGCAGGAAGTGGACAGACACATAGCTTCATGCAAAACCTGCTGCTTGCCATGCGGATTACAAGCAAAAACACTCCACTGCAGACATCCAATTAGGAAAATATAATACAAACACTTTAACAATTTAGTTTCTTTGATGAGACTATCCAAGAAAATAATGATGGCTTTATGGAAGAGTCTACCATGGCAAAGCATCTTTGCACCCATTGTAACAGCTCTGTGAGATGGGCAGCACAAGGGTTATCATCCTGACTTAATAGATGAGGTACAGAGAGGTTCAGTGTAATGCCCAATGGCACACAGCCAGTAAGCAGCAGAGCCAGGTCTAAGAGCAAAGTCTTCTGACTGCTACTCCAGAGCGGGCCTTACCCTCCCCACATGATACCTCGGAGGGCTGCTGCGCAACACTGCCCGAAGAATGCTACTAGACCCAGCTCCTTCCCGGGGTGGCCTCTACAGCTGGCCTCTGCTCTCCCGCCTGCTGCCCTTGGGCTACTGCCCTCAGGAGTGCTAAAGGTGCACCAAGCAGAGCAGGGGCAGCAGCAGGGAGAAGAGGAGGAGGATTTTCCTCCCACTTTGGAGACACTAGGTGCGGCTTGGGCCAAAGGTTCAGGTAAGGGGAGAGTCCTGGGCAGTCTCATACATCCATCCAGCAAGCTCCACTCACCTCTGTACAATAACTCCTGCCCTCCACCACTCATGACCTCAACAACAGCCGCCAGACTCCGGGCCAGGCACTGACCAGGGGAAACGAATGGGCCCAGCTGCACTCAGACAAGCCCACCATATGGCTGGGGAGCCACCAGCTGTATAATGAGCTCTGCATGCAAACAGCGTGTCTAGCAGAGTGTGAATGACCACCTGGCTTCAAAGCCGGGAGGGATCTGGGAACTTCCTAAGGTATGCACATTTGTATAACGTCTCAAAGAATATCTCCACAGATGTTTGCAGATTCATTCAGCAATTCAAAAACACTCTCTGGGAATTTGCTTCAGGCTAAGTGGAATAACAGGAACCAGATTTATTCTCCCTCCTGAAACAACCCAAAAAACAGCCAAATATGTGAAACAACAGTTTCAGGAGACTAGCAATGAGACAACGAAGGACAGTGAACAGGAAGCAGATGAGAAGAGCCCTACAAATGCTCTAGCTTACTGCCTGAGAGAGTTCCTGCCCTGTCTCAGGGAGGGCCCAGCTGACTTCTCAAGTTGAGATGGAACTGAGGGTCCAGAAAGACCAAGAAGCCAGAGTTTGCAGGACAGAATACTGGAGATGGGAGAGCTTCAGAAAGAGAACTCTGGAGATCTGTGGAGGGGGCCCCGCCTTGAGTATACTGGTCAGTATATGCCTGTAAGTGAACTACCCCAAGCCAGGGAAAGAACCACTCAAAGGGATTAGAGGCAAAAGCACCCAACAGCCACAGAAAGCTGGGAATAGTACCTGTCCCCACCCACTAGCCTGGGAAACCTCCTAAGTCACAGGGTACTGGGGAGAGTACGCGAAAGGGACTTGCCTCAGCAGTGGGGCCCAATTAACCCTAAAGTAAATACAGCTCTGCTTCCATCTAGCAATCCTTAAAAGTGAGAATCAAACTGTGTTCAAGTAACTTAACTGTATCCCAGAACAAAGCTCAAGAATATTTATAGGAATACTAAAATATCTAGCACTCAACCAGGTAAAATTTACTTCTGGCATCCAATCAAAGATTACCAGGCATGCAAAGAAGCAGGGAAATTCTCCTCATTATCCATAATGAGAATAATCAACCAAACCTGACCCAGAACTTGCAGATTTCAGAATTATTAGATGAGGCTGTCAAAACAGCAATAACTGCATCACATATGTTTAAAAAGTTAAGTAGATATAGAGAACATAAGATATAAAAAAAGACCCAAATCAAAATGCAAATCAAAACCACAATGAGATATCACCTCACACATGTTAGAATGGCTATTATCAAAAAGACAAGAAATGACAAATGTTGGTATGCATGCAGACAAAGGGGAACCCTTGTGCACTATCAGTGAAAATGTAAATTGGTGCAGCCACTAAGGAAAACAGTATGGAAGTTCCTCAAAAACTAAAAAATAGAACTACCATATGATCCAGCAATTCCACTTCTGGGCATTTATCCAAAGAAAATGAAAACACTCACTTGAAAAGGTACATGCACCCCCATGTTCACTGCAGCATTATTTACATAAGCCAAGACATGGAAGCAATTGATGGATGCATAGATAAAGAAAATGTGAGATATATATACATATATTTGCATATGTATATGTGTGTATATATATGTATATGTATATGTGTGTAGATATGTATATATATATAAAAAGTATTATTCAGCCATTTAAAAACAGGAAATCTTGCCATTTATGACAACATGGACAGACCTTGAGGGCATTATGCTAAGTGAAATAAATCAGAGAAAGACAAATACTGTATTATCTCACTTAAATGTGGAATCTAAAAACAAACAAACAGGGCTTCCCTGGTGGCGCAGTGGTTGAGAGTCCGCCTGCCGATGCAGGGGACACGGGTTCGTGACCCGGTCCGGGAAGATTCCACGTGCCGCGGAGCGGCTGGGCCCGTGAGCCATGGCCGCTGGGCCTGCGCGTCCGGAGCCTGTGCTCCACAACGGGAGAGGCCACAACAGTGAGAGGCCCGTGTACCGCAAAACAACAACAACAAAAACCCCACAAGCTCATACAGAAAACAGTTTGGTGGTTGACAGAGGTGGTGGGTAGGGGGTGGGCAAAATGGGTGAAGATGGTCAAAAAGTACAAACTTCCAGTTATAAAGTAAGTAAGTCATGGGGATATAATGCACAGCATGGTAACTATAGTTAATTATACTATATTGTATATTTGAAAGTTGCTAAGAGGGTTGCTAAGACCTTAAAAGGTCTCATCCAAAGAAAAAAATTTTATAACTGTGTGTGATGGTGGATTTTAACCAGACTTATTATGGTGGTCATTTTACTATATATATATATATATATATATATATATATATATATACACATATATATACATATATGTATATATATATATATCAGATGATTATATTTTACAACTGAAACTACTATAATGTTATATATCAATTATATCTCAATAATAATTTTTTAAAAGACCCAAATTATACTTCTAGCAATGAAAATTACAAGGTCTGAGATGAAAACTGCACTGGATGGGATTCATAGCAGAATAGACATTACAGAAGAAAAGAGTAGTTAACTTAAGGCATAGCAATAGAACCCATACAAAATGAAACACACAATGAAAAAACGAATTCCCCCCCAAGTTAAGAGTGACAGTGAGCTGTGGGACAATTTCAAGTGGTCTCATGTACAGATAATTGGAGTACCCAAAAGAGAGAAGTAAATGGGGGAAAACACAAAAAGTAATTGAAGAAACAATAACCGAAAACTTTACAAACCTGATGAAAACTATAAATCCAAAGATCCAAGAAGCTCAACAAACTACACCAAGATACATCATAATCAAACTGGTCAAAACCAGTGACAAAGAAAAAATCTTAAAAGCAGACGGAGATAAAAGACATGCTATGTCTAGAGGAACAAAGATAAGGATGACAGCAGATTTCTCATTGGAAACAATGCAAGCAAGAAGAGCAGCATCTTTAAGGGACTGAAAGGAAAAAAACTATAAACCTAGAATTCTATACCCAGCAAAAATATCTTTCAAAATCAAAGGCAAAATAATACGTTTTCAGACATACAAAAGCTGAAACAATTCATAACCAGCAGACCTACATGACAAGAATCTGAAATGAACTTCTTCAGGCAATAGAAAAATGATACCAGATGGAAATGTGGATCCACACAAAAGAATGAAGAGCACCAGAAATGGTAACTACATAAATAAATATATACAATTCTTTCTGAAAGTCTAGCTCTGAAGGGGAAAAGAAAGACCCGGTAGTTGTTATGGGCAGGCAGGGGGCTAAGGGAAATTTTCGTTTTGGTTTTTAGGACACAGGAGAAATTTAAGGATATATAAAGCTCATGGGAAAGTGAGTAAGCAGGGAGAGGTGACAATACAGGTTAGAGAGGGCAGAGTACAGGGCTTGAGAAGCAAGATAGGTCCTTGACAGAAGAGGGGCAAGCACTTCTTTGTCTATGACCTAGAGAAGGGGCTGGGTGCCTGGGCAAGGAGCTCTGTCAATGGGGTGCGGATGGCAGTCCTTCTGTAGCCTTTGGTTGATAAACATGTACTGCTTGTATAATCATAAGTAAAAACAAACAAACATGTTTACTAGATCGTCCTCAAGACAGAGCAGAAAATGAAGCCAGAGAGGCTAAAAATCTGGAGAAGAACAAAGGGTGCCAGATTTGGGAACCAACTCTACTCCCAAATGCACCAGCTCTGCAGAGATCTTCTCTCTCAACCTAAACAACATTCTAGGTCCTCTAAAGTAAATGGAGAATGCCAATATCCTAAAAGACTCTCAAGAGAAAAAAATCAGGGCACAAAATAGAATCTGGTTCTTTTGATCACCTTTATGTAAAACTGGATAGATGTCCCTTACAGAAAATCAAAAGGAAGTCTGAGTGATGCAGAGAGCTAGAATTTTGAGTCAGGAGTGTTGTTTTCCCTTCCTATGGAGATATTTAAGTAGAGAGGACAAATTAGGAACAAAACAAAAATTCTCACACCCTCAGGTACCATTTTTTTCATTGAAGCATAGGGAAGAAAGGAAATACTGAATTATTCCACTCTAAGAAATGACCTACCGTGTGAGAGCCATTGAACCCTCCCATGGTAATGCGCCTTTTAAAAAAGATTGCTTCTCAATGTCAATAATCTTATTATAGTTTGAGCCATGCATAAAGTGGAAATTACTGCACTATTGGCAGCAAGGAATATGTTTGGAGAACAGGGGCGAGGGCACCACTCCAACTCTGCCAAGGAGCCCCAGCCTGGGTCAGCTCCTTCATACCCTTCCAGTTGTTCTCAAAAGACTCTCTACCAGCCACAGGCTTTTTTTCATAATGGCTTCTGTGTCAGGGGAGCCAACTGGGGAGGACCAAAAACAGCTGGGGGTTAGAGGGGCAGCAACCCGTACTTTCCATAGGAAATTTTTAGTGTGTGCATCTAACAAATGGAGAAAATACCACTGAAATGCAGATATTCATAGGGCTACCATGCAGATTAAATGAGAAAAGACGTATATGGTCCCTGGCACATGGTAAGCACTCCATAAATGGCTACAGTGATGGTGATGATGATGATGATGATAATGGTTATGACTGATGCTTACAATTCAAAGAGATGGACGGGAACCACAACTAGGTCCTATTAATTCCTCTGCTAAATACACTCTGGATCCATCCACTTCTCCCAACCCATTCACACCTCTCAGCCCAGGCCACAGTCATCTCTCACTTGGACAACTGCTGCAACCACCAAAATGGTCTTCCTGGTTGGCCTTCTACCCCCTCTCCAAACCCTTCTCCTCACAGCATCCAAGTGAAACTGAAAGTCAAAGGCAAATGTGATCATGTCACTCCCCTGCTAAAACCCTTTCAATGGCTTCCGCCTACCCTGTGAATGAATCCATGCTCTGTAGCATGACTACCAGGCCCCAGGTGATAAGGCCTCTGTCCATACTCCCAACAGGTGCCACTAGACATTTCTGGTCCCTGATCACTCACACCCTCCTCCCCCTACCTCAGAACTGTCCTGAGGGCTGTTTCTCTGCCAAGAGCCCTCCCTCCACTCCCTCTCTTCTTCTGGCTAATCTGACACATCCTTCAGATCTCACCCTAAACTTCACCTCTGTAAGGTGAACTTCACCCTCCTAGACCCTCATACCAGAAAGGTCTCCCATTACAGCATTCCATAATGCCCTGGGGCTCTCCTTGAAGCATATTCCACTCTTGTGGAAAATTTACTTAATTATTTGTGGTCATTTAATGCCTGCCTTCCCCATCAAACAGGAGGGCGGGCATAGTTCTCTACTTGCTCTCCACTGCACCCAGAGTGCCTAACACAGCATATGGCATATGACAGGTGCTCAGTCAGAATCTGCTAGTTGACTGTCTAGTGAAGACGGGTGTGGGGTGTTGAAGTCCGGGGCTGGCACCCGTTCCTTGACACCTGGACAGCACTGCCACCTCCAGTTGCTAATTTGCCAGTGGTATCCTCTGCAGAAAAAACGCCTTGGATTTTCAGCCACCCCCAAAAGGAACCAGCTGGTGAAGCTTCCTCAGTCCTCACCCCATTCATGGCCTGGCCATGATGACCAGTGACCCACCCCATGGCTGGTGTTACCCTCAGGTCTGTATGACGTGACCCTCCCTGCCAGGTAGGCTCAAACTGACTGCCGAATCAGCCAGTGTTCTGCCAGGAAACAGCACATGCAACTTGGACAGTCAGAGGAGAACTTAATAAAGGCACCTCCAACATGTGTGCTGGGTGCAGAGAAACCAAAAGCAATGGTAAGGAACCCCAGGGTCAATAACAGCAGAGAGGGAGCGAGTTACCACTCATAGACCTTAAGAGTCCAGAGGCAGAAGCCTTGAAACAGAGAGGACAGCCTTCTAGAAGCCCTAACTTTCAGTGGAGGGACACAGCCAACCTGCGATATCCCCAAGGGAGGGAGCTGAGAGAATCAATAACCTGACCTCACTCTACCTTCATGCCAACACAACAGAAGCCAGAAGACAGAAGAGCCAGTTGTTTATTCCATACAGGACAGCTACTCAGGGCACAGAGCAGGGTGGAGAAGGCTGAAGAATGATCTGAGAGACAAACAGAAGATATCCAGCACACGCTGTCCCCTCTCTGAGGCTGGTGGTTAAGTGTAGCGACAGAGGAGTGTAGTACAGAGCTTTGACTGTGAGGTCAGGCAGACAGAGGCTTGAATTGTAGCTTCTCAACTTCTGCTGTTGGACCTTGGTAAAAGACTTAGGGGATGCTGAGTCTCAGTTTACTCATCTATCAAATGGGGACAATAACAACATACATTTCATAAGCATTTAAAGACTAAATAAGATGATGCTCAAAAAGCACTAAGCACACTGCCTGGCAGATAATGAGTGTTTTAATTACTTTTCATTACTCAGCAAGCCGGCTGCCCTGCCTCTTTCCAGGACGCAGCAGGGAAAGGAAAGATCTGTGTATTCCTGTTAAGTTTTGAATGACAAGAAAGGCCAAAGGGTCTGGACTTTAATAGGGCTCTGCGGAGTAGGGCGAAGAAACAATGGGAATAAGGCCTCCACTCCTGGGCCCAGCCATGCCTCCAGGTGGCTGCCTTCCCCACGGAGGGACCCTGAGAGCATGCTCTGGCAAGCAGCAAGTTACCCTGGGATCTGCTGTGTTTTTCTCATCTGTCCTTCACAGGCACCTGAGCAAGAGTGACCTTCTTACGAAAGTGGTCCAGCAGGGTGCAAAGTAAAGCGTGGTCTTTGCAGTCAGAGATACAGGCTCTGCCAATTACCAGAATCGCAAACGTAGGCAGATTACTTAACCTCTCTGAGCTCAGCATCTTCATCTGTAAAACACGGATACTCACGGAATCTATCTCATAGGATCGGTGGGAGGGCTAAATAAGATAATGATAGCACTATGCACAGTTCCTGGCTCCTAATAAGGGCACCATAGAGGTCGGCTATTCGTTATGATGATTATCATTAATAACGAAGTGCTCAGCACAAGGGGGTACGCCTCAGTAAGCGCTAATACACGGTTCTTCCCGACTGAGTCACCTGCTCAGGGGCCTGAACATGGCCCAGGCATCCCGCCCCGCCGGCCCCTACCCCGGACCGCGAGCGGGGACCACCGGGGGAAGGAGGTCGGGATAACCCGGGGAGACGCGCTCTAGGGGACGCCAGGAAGAGGCGAGGCGCGCAGCGCGGGCCTTCGCGCAGGTAAAAGAGC